AGAGGCAGCCTGCGACGTGCCCGACGTCTTTTGCGAGACCCTTTTACGCGATCCCTGCCCTCGCGGAGATGCACATAGAACAAGTCCTCCTAAGTCACCGGCCACGGTCACAGGCGCCGCCGGCCCTGGGAGGTGACAGGTCCGCACCGCCTCTTTGCTCTGCGACAGGCACAGCAGACACACGAGGTCACCCAGTCCATACACGACGCCCGAATCAGGCCAGAGCTCGTCGGAAACAATGCGGCACGCTTCGAGTGCGCCCTCGTGCTTGAGATCCCCGGCCGCCGCCAACCCTTTCTCGACGCCGGACCCCATGCCGGTCAGCACTTCCCAATCGTCCGAAGACGGCCCCACTGCGATGCCCTCCGCCGTGAAAAGCCAGCGAAGGAACCTCGCGCGGGAGTATCGCGCACCCTGCCAAGGTTTCATCGAACGCAGCGCTTTCTCGCAATCCTTGTACTTCGCGCCAGGGGCAGCGAAGATGCCCGCGAGTTTGTCGGCGGCTTCCTTGAGACGGCCAGATCGAAGATCTTTCATGAGGATTCCGAACTCATGCCGGCCGGGTCTCCTGTCGGCGGGGTTCATGATGGCGCGGTACGAAAAAATCGTCCGGACCACCGCCGAGGGAGCGCACCTTCGCCTTGGAATAAAGCTGCGCAGTCCGCCGGGCGCGATTACAAACGACGGGGGCCCCCCTGGGACGCACTTCCCGCGTCGCCTCCCCCCACAGCCGCTCGCACAGGGCTGCGCGGCCCTCGTCGTTGGAGGCCTGCAGAAATTCCAAGTGACCCCCCACTCTTCTGAGGATGGACGCCGCCGCCCACTTCCAAGAACACAGGAACGGCAAGCACGGCACCTCCACGCGCAAGGAAACGTCGGTGAAGCCGCGTTCGCGCAAGAACATGCCAGAGGCAATGCCCACGCGCACGTCGCGCCGATGTGAATGCAGCGGCGAACCCGCCCTGGATAAAGTCACCGAAGCACTCCGCCACGTTGGAGTCGCCGAGCGCCCTCCTCAGCCGCTTCAACTTCCAGTGCGTGCCCCTGGGAACCCTTGGGCGGAATTGGGAACACTCCGTGCTCCTGCACGCCCCGCCCTTCCGGCGACGGTGACCGCAGGCGGAGCACAACAACACCATCCGCACAAACGCGCCACAGGCAGCGGGAGCGCGCCAGAGGCAACGGCACAGCGTCACCGCGGGCCCCTGTCAAAAGGATTTGACGGACTCTCGGTTCAGACCGTGGGCCCCTGCCCAAGGGATCTGATGGATCCTCGACTCAGAGTGTGGGCCCCTGTTCAAGGAGTCTGATGGACTCTCTGTTCAGACAGTGGGCTCCTGTCCGAGGGATTTGATGGACTCTCGGTTCAGACCGTGGGCCCCTGTACGAAAAGTCTGATAGACTCTCAGTTCAGAGCGCGTGCCCCTGTTCAAGGCATTCGATGGGCTCTCGGGTCAGACCGCGGGCCCGTGTCCAAGGGATTTTATGGAATATCGGTTCAGACCGTGGGCTCCTTCTTCCCCGAAGGATTTGATTGACTCTCGATTCAGACCGTGGGCTCCAGTTCCCGGGATCCGATGGACACTCGGTTCAGAACGTGGACCCCTGCCCAAGGGATCTGATGGACCCTCGGTTCAGACCGTGGGATCCGGCCCAAGGGATTTGATGGACTCATGGTTCAGAGTGTGGGCCTCTTTCCAAGTGATCTGATGGACTCTCGGTTCAAACCGTGGGCCCCTATCCAAGGGATTTGATGGGCGCTCGGTTCAGACCGTGTGCTACTGTCCAAGGGATCTGATGGACTCGGTTCAGAATGTGGGCCCCTGTTCAAGGGATATTATGGGCTCTCGGTGTTGACCGTGGGCCCCTGTCCAAACGCTTTTTCATGGGGTCTCGGTTCAGACCGTGGGATCCTCTCCAATGGACCTCATGGACTCTCGGTTCAGATTGTGGGCCCCTGTCCAAGGGATCTGGTGGACGCTTGGTTCAGACCGTGGGCCTATGTCCAAGGAATTTGATGGACTCTCGGTTCACACCGTGGGCTCCTGTCCAATGGTCTGACAGACTCTCGGTTCAGAGCGCGGGCCCCTGTTCAAGGGATCTGATGGCCTCTCGGTTCAGACCGTGGGCCCCTGGCCAAGGGCTTTGATGGGCTCTCGGTTCAGGCCGTGGGCTCCTGTCTTTGGGTATGATGGATTATCGGTTCAGACCGTGTGCCCATGTCAAAGAAACCTGATGGACTCTCGGTTCGGACCGTGGGCCCCTGTCCAGGGGATTGAATGGACTCTCGGTTCACACCGCGGGCTCCTGCCCAAGGGATCTGATGAGCTCTCGGTTCAGACCGCGGGCCCCTGTTCAGGGGATCTGTCCAAGGGATTTGATGGACTCTCGGTTCACACCGTGGGCTCCTGTCCAATGGTCTGACAGACTCTCGGTTCAGAGCGTGGGCCCCTGTTCAAGGGATATGATGGCCTCTCGGTTCAGACCGTGGGCCCCTGGCCAAGGGCTTTGATGGGCTCTCGGTTCAGGCCGTGGGCCCCTGTCTTTGGGTATGATGGATTATCGGTTCAGACCGTGTGCCCATGTCAAAGAAACCTGATGGACTCTCGGTTCGGACCGTGGGCCCCTGTCCAGGGGATTGAATGGACTCTCGGTTCACACCGCGGGCTCCTGCCCAAAGGATCTGATGAGCTCTCGGTTCAGACCGCGGGCCCCTGTTCAGGGGATCTGTCCAAGGGATTTGATGGACTCTCGGTTCACACCGTGGGCCCCTGTTCAGGGATCTGATGGACTCTCAGTCCAGACCGTAAGGCCCCTGCCCAAGGGGTCTGATGGGCTCTCGGTTTAGACCGTGGGCTCCTGTCCAAGGGATCTAATGGGCTCTCGGTTCAGAGTGCGGGCCCCTGTCCAAGGGATTTGATGGACTCTCGGTTCAGACTGTGGGCCCATGTACAAGGGATTTGGTGGACTCTCGGTTCAGACCGTAGACTCCTGCCCAAGGGATCTGATGGACTCTCGGTTCAGAGTGCGGGCCCCAAGAGATCTTATGGACTCTCGGTTCAGACCGCGGGCTCCTGCCCAAGGGATTTGATGGACTCTCCGTTCAGAGTCTGGGCCCCTGTCCGAGGGATCTGATGGACTCTCGCTTCAGACCGTGGGCCCCTGCCCAAGGGATCTAATGGACTCTCGGTTCGGACCGTGGGCTGTCGTCCAAAAGATATGATGGACTCTCGGTTCAAAATGCGGGCCCCTGCCCAAGGGATCTGATGTCCTCTCGGTTCAGACCGTGTTCCCCTGTCCAAGGGATCTGATGGACTCTTGGTTCAGACCGTGGGCCCCTGTCCAAGGGCTTTGATGAACTCTCGGTTCAAACCGTGGGTTCCTGTCTTTGGGTCTGATGGATTCTCGGTTCAGACCGTGTGCCCATGTCAAAGGGATTTGATGGACTCTCGGTTCAGACCGTGGGCCCCTGTCCAAGGGATTTGATGGACTCTCGGTTCACACAGTGGGCTCCTGCCCAAAGGATCTGATGGGCTCTCGGTTCAGACCGTGGGCTCCTGTCCAAGGGATCTGATGGACTCTTGGTTCGGAGTGTGGGCCCCTGTTCAAGGGATCTGATGGACTCTTGGTTCAGACCGTGGGCCCTGTCCAAGGGATTTGACGGACTCTCGGTTCAGAGTGTGGGCTCGTGCCCAAGAGATCTGATGGACTCTCGGTTCAGAGCGTGGGCCCCTGGTCAAGGGATCTGACGGACTCTCGGTTCAGACCCGGGACCCCTGTCCAAAGGGCTTGATGGACTCTCGGTTCAGACCGTGGGCTCTTGTCCAAGGGACTTGATGGACTCTGCTGCGGAGGCGCTGCGGCAGAGTTCGGTCTTCATACAGAGCGGGCGAGAGGAGAGACCGGTATTCGTACAGAGTAATTCCAGAGGGGCCACGAATGCGGCGGGCGCCGAGGCGAGAGCGCCCCCTCGGAACGCCGGAAAACGTTCCGAGTGGAAAAACACATGGGAAATATCGATGTATGAAACCTTGTGTAAAAAATACGCGGAGAGAGCCGGATATCTTCCAGGCATACTTGGGGGTGAGAGAAGAGTAAGTCCTTATATAATAGTTGTCGAAGAGGGAACGCGGGAGCAGGGGAGGGGGGAAGGGGAGGGAGCGAGGGACAGGGAGGGGGAGAGGGAGAGGAGAGAGGGAGAGGAGAGAGGGAGGTGTTGGCAAGCTAGGTGCGCTCGCGTCAAAATCTGACATCCTACCCCTCCCTGCCATCCCTTCCCATTGCGCTACTTCATTGTCCTTTCACCGAATCGGGTGTTGCGTCAAACCCTCATACCTACGAGAAAGGTGACGACGACGACGACGACGACGACGACAACGACGAGGGGCCCAAAGAGAGTGCACGTTCGCAGGTTCCCGCACGCGGCGCTGCACCTCCACCGCCCTGGGGCCGAGGACCTTGGGGCCCAGGAATCATTAGAATCCTGCGTGGAAAAAACAATACGCGAAACGTGTGATGTTCAGAAACACACCATGACATGCCGTTTCCCGGGAATCCTGCGTGTAAAAAAACAGTAGGCGGAGGGGTGCCGGTCATCTTCTGGACGCCATGAGGGGAGTAGGGAGAGTAGTATTCATATTGAGTAATGGTAGAGGGGGCCCAAGTGCGGCGGGCGCCGAGGCGAGGGCGCCCCCTCGGAACGGCCGAAAACAATCGGATTGTCAAAAACACATATGAAAACGGGTTTCCCGGGAATCCTGTGCGTAAAAAAAAACAGCACGCGAAACGTGTGATGTTCAAAAGCACACCACGAGATGCGGTTTCCCGGGAATCCTGTGTGTAAACGAAACAATACGCGGAGGGGTGCCGGCCATCTTCTGGACGCCATCAGGGGAGTAGGGGGAGTAGTATTCATATTGAGTAATGGTGGAGGGAGCGAGGGGAGAGGGGGAGGGGGACGGGAGGGAACGAAAGATAAAGAAGGATGGTGAGGACGACCCAATTCAGATGACGTGTGCCGAAGGTGATCTGGATGAGGGTGATGACTTGTTGGCAAACGCAGGACGCGCGATATCGCGCAATGTCAAAATGTAAGGTGAAGAAGAACGGGCTTGCACCTGCTAGGCAGATTTGTGCATGACGTGGGCAGCTCGTGCTGCCCGTCCGCACGGCCCCAAGAAGTAAACTCATGGTCGTCGACGGAATACACCCACGGACCATGGTCGTGCGCTACCGACGGTGACCGCAGAAGAGACGCGTCAGCTGATCCTACGCTAGGCTAGCGATCGCCTCGGTACGCCCGACGACACTGTTCGAAATCGCCTTCTTCTCCAGTGACATCGACTTCAGGCACCCCTCTTCGGGCGTCGCCGCCTCCGTGTAGTCGTCTTCACCGAGCAGACCTCCGACAGCAGCACCCGCCTCTCTCAAGTGCTTGACGTAAAAGTTCAAGTACGCGATGCCCTTGGTAGGAGGAGGGGAACTACGACGGGTTCCCGCCATAACGGTGCGGCCTATGGTGCCGCTTGTCACCGCGTGGATCGTTCAATCCACTCTCGGGGGCCCACGGAGGCAGTCGGGGGTCTTCAATCGCGGGTGCCCGCGCCCGCACTGCCGCGGGCGTTGCTGGACTGGGGAGGGGTCGTTCTCTTGCTCTCAGGACGGGAAACAGCCACTCCCAGCGCCGACACCTTTGGACCCCAGACCTGGTGGGACTGAGGCTGCCTTCTCTTGCTTTGAGGACGAGGCGGGGCAACAGCAAGATGAGCAAGAGGGGCCTGTGGCCGAGATTCGGCTCCACCGGCGCGATACTTACCCAGCCCCCCCCCACCCCGCCACGGACACCTTCACGGCCCGGTGGTGTATATGCTCGATTCCCGGATTGTGCCCCCTCCACAACATGGTGGCCCCAAGAGGGCCTCCAATATGGCTCAAGCTCACGATCGCCGAAAATGGTTCAGAGCCCCCCAGAGGCCCCAAGAGGGCCACCAGACGGTCCCAGTTGCGTTCGCTCCCAAGGATCCCTCCAAATCCTTCACAGGCGCTTCGTTTGAGAATGTTGTTTGCCTTGTCGCTCTCTCGCATTCGATGGGCCTCAGATGCCTCAAAATAATCCAGATATGGCCCTAGAGATAACCATGAAGGGTCCAAGACGGGCCCTGAGGCGCCCACCTGATTGAGAACACTCGCTCAAATCAGCGCAGAGCTAACTTTGGGGGGAGTGAGGGGCGCGGGACCTCGCGCAGATCGGTGAAACGAATTAAGCCAAAAGCAGCGGCCCCCAACCCTGATTCCGCCCAGGGCCTGGCTCGTGCTGCCGTGCACGACCTTCAGCTTCAGCGGGCCGAACCTCGCCCAGCCCTGGGCGGCCTGGAGCGTCTCGTCGCGCGACCCCCCAGCAGTGAAGGTGAGGCCGCCGGCCCGCACCTTGTCCACCCAAGCCCCTGTCAGGGGCAGCCCGAACCACGCTGGTGCTGACTGTACACCCCATTCTGGAGTGAAGGGGGAATGGGTTGAGGGGTCAAGAAGAGCAGTGGGACAAGGTGCTGCAACAGAAGGGCAGCTCGGCCCTCGGGCCGGCCACCTCCTCGCTGCTCAGGCGGGTGGAAGACGGGACGATGGGAGAGATGATGGGGCGGAAAGGCGGGGGGGCACTGCCTTCTCGACCCATCGCAGTCGGCGTGCGCTGGGCGACGGCGCTGTGGCCACGACAGCGTTCCACTAGTGTGGGCACAGCAGCAGGGGGAGGGGAGGGGGCCGAATCTCGCTGTCGCTGCGGTTTGGGCTGCCCTTACCCGTGATGTTCAGAGATTGGAAGTACATGTCCGCGCATTGCGAACCCAGACGACGCGCGTCTGCCTCCACGGTGAGCCATGACTTCTCGAAGGGCTGTCCTGAGGGTGCGAAATTTACACGCCGCCGAAAACGGGGGCTCACAGACACCATAAGCAACTTTCTTCTGACATTCGCCACGATGCCCCCATGGCACGTTGCGGCGCGGTAGGAAGCCAGATGCTGCCCGGCAGGGTTTCTGTAATCTTCCAGGGGGGGCCCTCGATCGCACTCGGCGGCGGGAAACGCCCCCCCCCCTCCTGAGGCTCACTGGGCTGCCCGACGTTTCCCTGGCGCTCTCCAAGGCGTCCGTCCAAGTTGCCTGAGACGGCTCCCAAGACGGCCCAGGCCAGCCGCCAAGATGGTTCAAGATGCCTCCATCACGGCCTCTGATGGCCCCAAGACTGCTCGAGATCAACTCGGGACCTCACAAGATGCTCTCAAGACGGCCCAACAGGGCTCGAACGTAACCTCCAACAGGGCCCGAAGATGCCAAAACCACAGGGTTCCCTTGGGCTTGTTGGAACCATGTTCCCATTATCGACTTTTCCAGCGTCCGTCAGCTCAAGGCTGCCCAAGAGGTCTCCAAAATGGCCCCACGACGGCCCAAGAGGGCCTCAAGATAATTTCGGGCATAGCCCGATTTGGTTTTTCGCGAAGTGAATCTGGACTGGACTGGACTGGGCTGGACTGAACTGGACTGGACTGACTGGTCGCACCCGTTACGCGACGGTTTTATTTTCGGCGGCCGAGAGCGCAACCTATGGCGCAACCAATAGGAGACAGTCTTATTCTCGCCGGTCGAGGGCGCAACCTATGGCGCAACAAATAGGAGACAGTCTTGTTCTCGGCGCCGAGGGCGCAACTTGTGACGCAACCAATTGGAGACAGTCTTATTCTCGGCGGACGAGGGCGCACCCTATGGCGCAACCCAGAGGAGACAGTTTTAGTCTCGGCGGCCCAGGGGGCAACCTATGGCGCAACCAATAGGAGGCAGTCTTATTCTCAGCGGCCGAGGGCGCAACCTATGGCGCAACAAATAGGAGACAGTCTTATTTTTGGCGGCCGAGGGCGCAACCTGTGGCGCAACCAATCCCACCAGCCCTTTGGGCGTGAGTGGTTTAGCGAGCTTTCTCTGTTCTCAACCCCCCAACCCCCCTTCTTCCCCTTCGGGGAGGGGTTTACCCCTCCCCCTACCCCCTCCCCCTGGACCTGGAGAGCGGAGCCCGCGGGTCGTCAGGGTGGTCTTTTTCGACGCCTGGGAGGGCCAAAAAACGACGACCCGCACGAGGATTCTGGCTCCGACGGGGGGACCCTCTTGTAGTACCCTCCTCTTCTGTTAAGCCCAAATGGGTTTTGGCCCCATTTTGGCCTCCCGAGGGGGCCGCGCTCATCTTCCTTCATAGCAAAATCATTGATTTTACGAAGGTTTTGGGCTCATTTTGTCCTTTTCAGGGGGGCAGCACTTCTTTGCGCTTCTGAGGATGTCGCAAGAGGCGCCAAGATGGCCCAAGAGGCCCCCAGGAGCCTCCCAAGAGGCCTCCAAGAGGCCCCCAAGAGGCCCCCAAGAGGCCCCAAGAGGCCCCCAAGAGACCCCCCAGAGGCCCTCAAGAGGCCCCCAGAGGCCCCAGGAGGCCCCGAAGAGGCCCCCAAGAGGCCCCCAAGAGGCCCCCAAGAGGCCCCAAGAGGCTCCAAGAGGCCCCACGAGGAGCCCGAACGACTCACACCAGGTCGAGGGGCCCGAACGACTCATACCACGAAGAACCCGAACGTGTCACGCCAGAAGGAGGACCCCGAACGACTCACACCACGACGCGCGCCTCGAACGACTCACACCACGAGGAACCCGAACGAGTCACACCAGTACTACTACTACTACTACTACTACTACTACTACTACTACTACTACTACTACTACTACTACTACTACTACTACTACTTGTACTTACTACTACTACTTATACTTACTACTACTACTACTACTTATACTTACTACTACTACTACTTATACTTACTACTACTAACTACTACTACTACCTACTATACTTAACTACTACTACTACTTACTTCCTACCATACTACTACCATTTTACACTACTACTACTACTACTATACTACTACTCTATACTTACTACTGATACTAACTTCCTAGGACGACGACGACGACGACGACGACGACGACGACCGACGACGGACGAGACGACGACGACGGACGACGCCGACGCGACGACGACGACGACGAGACGACGACGGACGGACGACGACGCGACGGACGGACGGGAGAACGACGACGACGACGACGACGACGACGACGACGACGACGACGGGCCGACGGACGACGACGCTACTACTACTACTACTACTACTATTACTACTACTACTACTACCACTATACTACTATACTACTACTACTACTACTACTACTACTACTACTACTACTACTACTACTACTACTACTACTACTACTACTACTACTACTACTACTACCTACTACTACTAACTACTACCACTACTCCTACTACTACTACTACTACTACTACTGCTGCTGCTGCTGCTGCTACTACTGCTACTACTCTTATACATCTACTATACTACTTTACTGTTTACTACTTGCTACTACCATCCCAGTACTACAATGATCTACTGGTTTCCTACTTCTACGACTACGACTAGGAGCCGAAGAGGAGGGAGAGGAGGAGGGAGAGAAGGAAATGGGAGGCAAGACGAACGGCGGTCGTTCACCAGTCCTACACGTAACCGACTCTGTCGACTCATACGACGGCGACGTCCTGGACCAGAATGCATGTGGTGTGCGTCGTTGGGGCCCCTCGCCCTGGTCTGAGTCGTTCGGGCTCTTCCTTGTGTGAGTCGTTCGGGCCCCTCGCCGAACGACTCACACAAGGAGGGAGGGGCCCAAACGACTCTGTCCAGGAGGGGGGACCCGAACTACTCACACCAGGACGAGGGGCCCGAACGACTCACACCACAAGGAGGGAGCCCGCACGATCATCCATTTTTTTTTTTTAATTGTTTTTTTTGATTTGTTTGTTTTAATTTTTTTTTTTTTTGTTGTTTGATATTTGTAGTTTTTTTTGTTATTTTTTTTATTATTTTTGCGTTTCTTGTTTTTGTTTTTTTGTTAATTTTTTTATTTTTTTTTTTGTATAGTGAGAGCGCGCGAGCGGAGTGAGCGCAGCGAGTAGCCGACCACACACCACGAGGGGCCCGAACGACTCACGCCACGACGCGGGCCTCGAACGACTCACACCAGGACGAGGCGCCCGACCCAGTCACGCCACGAGGAGCCCGAACGACTCACACCACGTCGCGGGCCTCGAACGACTCACACCACGAGGAGCCCGAACGAGTCACACCAGGAGGAGGGGCAGCGCTCATACAAGCCTCCCAAGAAGGCCCCCAGAGGTCCACCATATGGCCCCAAGAGGTCCCCAGATGGCCCACACGAGGTCCCCAGGAGGCACCACGACGCCTCCATGAGGCCCCAAAGATACCCCCAAGAGGTCCCCAAGAGGCCCCCAAGAGGCCCCAAGACGCCCCCAAGAAACCCCCAAGAGGCCCCACGAGGAGCCCGAACGAGTCACACCAGGACGAGAAGCCCGAACGACTCACAACACGAAGAGCCCGAACGACTCACACCGCAAGGAGGGGCCCGAACGACTCAGACCAGGAGGAGGCGCCCGACCGACTCACACCACGAGGAGCCCGAACGACCCACACCACGACGCGGGTCTCGAACGACTCACAACACTCTGAGCCCGAACGAGTCACACTACGAGAAGCCAGCGCCCATACTACTACCAGTACTACCACTGATCCTACTGGTACTACTTCTACTACTACGACTAGGAGCCGAAGAGGAGGAAGAGGAGGAGGGAGAGAAGGCGATGGGAGGCAAGACAGAAGGCGGTCGTCCTCGAGTCCTACACGTAACCGACTCTGTCGACTCACACGTCGGCATAGCAATGAACATAATACCACACTTACTAATACTACTACTACTTTAACTTACTACTCTACAACTCTACTACTACACTACTACGACGCCTACTTATACTACTACTATCCTATACTACTACTACTACTCCTACTACTCTACTCTAGTTGTTCATACTATATGGTACTACTTCTACACTACAACTACTACTCCTATATTATACTCCTGCTTATACTACTCATTATTACTCGTACTAATACTACACTACCATACTATACCACTACTTTTACCTACTATACTATACTACTATATTATACTACTACTCTACTATGCTACTACTTACTATACTTACTACTACCTACTACTACTACTACTACTGCTCCCACTTATACTACTTACTACTACTCCTACTACTCACTACTCCTACTACTCCTATTACTACTTCTATTACACTACTAATTACTATACTACTACAACTTACTACTACGGATGCTGCTTCGTACTCTTTTTGCACTACTGTCACTATACTACTATACAACTATATACTAATCTACTAATGCTTCTATACCATCTTCTACTACTTACTACTACTACTACTATACTATATACTCCGCTATACTACTACTACTACTACTACTACTACTATACTACTACTACTACTAACTACTACTACTACTACTTACCATTTATACTACTACTACTACTACTCCTATATACTACGACTATACTATACTATACTACTATATCTACTATACTACTACTATTATACTATACTACTTACAACTTCCTGCTCCTACGAGACTACTACGTACTACTATTAATATTTATTATACTATCACTACTCTACTACTATATACTTATACTACTTACTATCTATATACTACCACTACAACTAACTATACTATAATATATACTTACTACTACTACTACTACTACTACTACTACTACTACTACTACTACTACGACTACTACTACTACTACTACTACTGCTACTACCACTACCAGTACTACAACTGATCCTACTGGTACTACTTTTACTACTACGAGTAGCCGAAGAGGAGGAAGAGGAGGAGGGAGAGAAGGCGATGGGAGGCAAGACAGAAGGCG